GTGGCTTCAGACAGAGGGATTCATTGATAAAATCAAAGACCGGTGGCAATCTTACAATGTGGTAGGAACCCCTGATTTCATTCTCACGCAGAAGCTAAGAAAGACATTAGCAACTGGAACAAGGTATCTTTTGGCAAAATTGATGTTAGGAGAAGTAGGGCTCTAGATGAATTACAAAATCTAGACCAAATTCAAGATAATAGAGCTCACACTCCAGGAGAAAAACTGAGAGTTCTTAATCTGAAACTGGAACTATGACGGATTGCAATGGATGAAGAACTTCATGGAGACAAAAATCAAGATGTTTATGGCTAAAAGAGGGGGACAAATATACCAAATATTTCCAGAAGATGGCAAACTACAACATAAGAACCAACTGCATTGATAGGCTCAGGATAGGTGATGAAATCATTGAGGACAAAGAGTTGATCAAGAAGGAGATTCTGGAATTCTACCAGAACTTATGTAGTGAAAATGAATCTTGGAGGCCCAGTGCAAAATTTGAAGGCATCTCCTCACTAAGCATAGAAGAGAAGAACTGGTTGGAAGCTCCATTTGAACAAATAGAGGTGCTTGAAGCTTTGAAATCATGTGCCCCTGATAAAGCACCAGGTCCAGACCGCTTCATTATGGTTTTCTTTCAGAAAAATTGGGATACTTTTAAAACAGACATCATAGCTGCACTTAATCACTTTCACTAGAGCTGTCACATGGTTAGGGCTTGCAATGCTACCTTCATTGCCCTAATTCCAAAGAAAAAGAGTGCTATAGAGCTCAGAGATTACAGACCTATTAGCTTGATAGGTAGTGTTTACAAATTGGTTTCAAAACTTTTAGCAGAGAGGCTCAAGAAGGTAATTGACAAACTAGTATCGGGGGAACAAAATGCTTTCATCAAGAACAGGCAGATCATTAATGCTTCCTTGATTGCCAATGAAGTGCTAGATTGGAGAATGAAAGTGGAAAACCAGGCGTGTTGTGCAAACTGGACATTGAAAAGGATTTGATCAATTAAGCCGGTCTTACCTCATTAGTATCTTGAGGCAGATGGGCTTTGGGGAGAAATAAGTTGGATAAACTATTGCATTTCAACTATCAAGTACTCTGTTTTAATAAATAGGTGCCCGATCGATTTTTTCTCACCCCAAAAGGGCCTAAGGCAGAGGGATCCCCTCTCCCCTTTGTGATTCATTCTGGCGATGGAAGGACTCACTAAAATGTTGGAGAAGGCTAAGCAACTGCAATGGATACAACGCTTTTAGGTGGGGAGGAATCCTGCCAGCTCAGTTACAGTATCCCATCTACTCTTTGCGGATGATACTCTTATTTTCTGTGGTACTGAGAGATCACAAGCACTGAATCTCAACCTGACACTGATGATCTTCGAGGCACTATCAAGACTCCACATCAATATGATAAAGAGCATCATATACCCTGTGAATGCAGTCCCCAACAGACAGGAGCTAGCAGACATCCTATGCTGCAAAAAAGGCACTTCCCCAACCACATACGTGGGACTTCCCTTGGGAGCTAAATTCAAATCAAAAGAAGTTTGGAATGGAGTCCCAGAGAAGTTTGAAAAGAGGCTTGCGACTTGGCAAATGCAATACCTCTCCATGGGTGGCATGTTAACATTAATCAATAGTGTGGATAGTCTTCCCACATACCACATGTCTTTGTTCCCAATTCCAACCTCAGTCCTAAAGCAGATGGACAAACTCAGAAGGAAGTTCTTATGGGAAGGATGCAGCAAAACACACAAATTCCCACTAGTGAAATGGCTCAAGGTAACACAACCAAAATTCAAGGGAGGCTTGGGCCATCTACAAGTACACAACAAAGCTATGCTCTTAAAATGGCTCTGGAGATATGGACAGGAGGAATCTAGGCTATGGAAGGACATCATGCTTGCTAAATATGGAGCACACAACCACTGGTGTTCTAAGAAAACAAACACTCCTCATGGAGTTGGTCTGTGGAAGACATCAGCAACCACTAGGATGAATTCTTCCTAAATGCAACTTTCAAAGTTGGGAATGGAACTCGTATTAAGTTTTGGAAGGATAGATGGTTCGGAAATACATCTCTGAAAGACATGTTTCCCAGTATATATCAGATTGCCTTGAACAAAGACTCCATTATTGCTCAAAATAGAGACAGTGGCACTTGGTGCCCACCTTTCGGAAGAAATTTGCAAGATTGGGAGGTCAACAGCCTACTTACAATGTTAAGCTCCCTAGAAGGTCACAACATCGACGATCAACAGCCTGACAAACTTATTTGGGGAAACTCTAAGAAAGGCAAGTACACAGTCAAAGAAGGATACATTCACCTCTGTGACTAGAATCCAATAATAGATAACTGGCCATGGAAATATATCTGGAGAACTAAAGTGCCTACCAAGGTGACTTGCTTCACATTGTTGTCTCTAAATAGGGCCTGTCTCACTCAAGACAACCTAATCAAGAGGAACATAGCACTAGTTAATAGATGCTACATGTGCCAACAATAGTCAGAAAGTGTAAACCACCTATTTCTCCATTGCTCAGTTGCAAAAGAATTTTGGAACTTCTTCTACACTATCTTTGGTCTGAAATGGGTTATGCCACAATCAACAAAGCAAGCTTTTGAAAGTTGGTATTTTTGGAGAGTTGACAAATCCATCAAAAAAATCTGGAAAATGGTGTTTTGATGGCATATCAACTCCACTCTACTCCCTCAAGGCTGCGTGTTTAGTTAACTTATTCAGCGGAACTATCTCACCCCTGTTAATAGTGCTGATACTTTTGTGGATTTCATTAGCTCGCTGATAGTAGCATAGGCTTTTGTAAATGGAGCTAATTAGCCTATCTCTTTTGTACTCTTTGCATCTTTTTGATGCCCTTTAATGAAACTAATTTACTTCATCAAAAAAAAAAAGGTAAATAATATAAATAGACACTTAAAGTTGGCCCCAACTGCCAATTGAACACTCCAACTTACCAAATGATCATTTAGACACCTCAACTTTCCCCCAATGTGTCTTGTGGACACCCGGTGCTGACATGGCAAAATAGACAGCCGGCGTTGACATGGCAAAATATTTGTCTTTTAAACAAAATTTGAGCGCATGAATCTTTAAATTTTGTGTTATAATCTTCGTCTCTCTTTTATCTAATAATGTGGGTGTCATGTTTTCACCCTTTTCCTCAACACTTCTTCTTATTCAATTTCCCATTCACCATTTAAAAAGGAGAACTCACCATTTTAAGCACAATACACATAGATCCCACCATTTTGGGTCTCGCGTTCTCACCCTCTTCCTCACAATTCTTCTTCTTTTACTCCTTAAACCACCCTTTCAACCACCTCTCTCTACCATTTTTCCACCCTTCACCATCGCGATTCCACCATGAGTGTCACCTGAGAACACCATGAAATCGGCCGCAAATCTTTAAAATCTCCTCTTTGATTTTTTCATCCTCTCCAAGAACACGTTACATTAACAGAGCTACCAACAATTAACAATGGGGTGTTCTACCAACAACTAACAGAGCTTGATTGAAAAGGAGGTGGAAGGGGAGGAGGAAGGAAGAAGAATGGAGGTAGGGGGGTTTCTGTTATGGTTAAAATAAGAGAAAAAGAATTTTTTTCTTGTATTCATTTTTTTAATTACATGTTTCGAAAAAAAATCACTAACGACGTGTATCATTGTCTAATTCGTTCATTTGCACGTCATTGGCGATTGTAATGCACACATCTGCTCTAGTGGTTTCGAGTGTCCACAAGACACATTGGAGGCGAATTGAAGTGTCTAAAGGATCATGGAGTGTTCAACTGACGTTGGAGCCAACTTTAAGTGTCTGTTTATGTATTTTTCCAAAGAAAAATGTACCTTGGGCTTAACTCACCCCAAAAGCTAGTTTATGATGTGAAATGTCCAAAACAATAGAGAGAGACAATAGTATCAATCTTCAACCAACATGGGACTCTAATATAATAATTGTGCGAGTGCATTCGCAGTTGGAAAGTACGTTTAACTACCCGCTTAATCACCAACTTTAAGGCGTGGAGACAATTGTAGTCTAAACCAAATCCTAAGTCAAGTTATATTGTTGCTCTACATAAGCTTGTCTAAGGACTTCCAAAAGAGTTCACAAAAGGTCCTGGGTCACTCCATTCTATCAGAAAGGATTTAGGTTGGATGATCAGATTCTTTCAGATAGTATTAGATAGAGGAACGCCCATTCTCACACCCATATGCCCATATTAAAGCTCACGTGTAAACCAGAAAAATTAGACCATATGTGGGATGATTGAGTCACATATTATGCTCTACGTGATTATGTAAGGGCTTTCAAATAAGTTTATAAAGGTCTTGGACCATTTCACCCACAATCTCAAAGTTTTGGGTTGGAGTCCTGGATTACCTCATAATCCACCACTTAATCAGCTACTACATTATAGCATAAGGCATTTGTAATCTAAACCAACTCCTCGTTGTATAGGGTCAAATTTGACCCTCAGTATCTCTACGCCAGTAGGTACGCCCAATGAGTGTACGCCGACTAAACGTAGCGGGTACGACTCGGCCGTGAGGACCAAAGCGACGTCGTTTAGAACTCAGCGTCTACACTAGGGAGACGTTACCTATCTCTGTAACTTTTTGATTCTTTCGAGGAAGGTCTCCTATTATATAAAGGGAACCTCCACATTGTAAAGGCCATCAGCTGATCTAATACAACTCTCTCCTTTTCTGTCTTTCTCTCTCTATATCTCTACTTCTGACGAAAATATCTTATGAACATACATTATCATCTTTGCAACACTAGATCTACAACAATATTATCATCTTTGCATCTCTAGGTTTATTACATTTGATTACGATTTACCCCTTCTCTATTTTTTGATTGTTTTATCGCTTACAAAGTATATCGTTAACTTTTGAGCCAAACACTCGTATTTCTCTCATTTACCATTATGAAATGGTCAAAGGATTCCTAAAGCAATAAACATCTTACCCACAATCGATGTGACATTGTTTCCGCTGATGCAGAAGAATCTGAATCTCGGGATGCTGATTCGTCGGCTGCAGGACCTAAGAAGTTTAGATTATCAGCACAGGTTGCTTCTGAAGAGAGCCGTATCGCCAACGCTAACTGCAGCTGGTAACTTTCCTCCGTCTGCAGCGCCCAACTCCTTGCCGCCGCCGACGAGCCACAACCGTCATTTCTAAGCCCAAAGGAAGTCTCCGCGTAGTACTCCCCGGAGATCGAGCTACCACCGTAGCTGCCTTCACTTGATTGCCTATGCGATCCTCCCGAACCGGGTAACTGCAATGATCCGACCCGGCTCTGTGATTGCATCATGCGGTCCTCAATCAAGTCAGCTCCGGCGGAGAACTTCGGCGGTGGCGGCTGGACGAAAGTATCGTCAGGAATTTGATTCAACAAAGTATAATTCGATCGTCTACCAGAAACTTCCATAGAGAAAATGTTCAATTTACAAAAATCCAAACAACTGCCATTATACTGTAGCAGTGCAGTTTCTCACCTCAAATCACTTTCTCTCTCTAAATTTTCTCTCACTGAGAAAAATGAAGGAGATAATGGATGTTCAGTTTTTGAGGGTGTAATTGCAATATTTTGAGAATAACAATTAAAGCAGAGATGCTGGCTTTATTGGAATTAATTATAGTAAGTGGGGCTGCTCGGTCATGAGGCGGAAAGATGCAGAGAATTTTGTGCGTAAATGCGTGAACGGTTGACAGTTCCGGCTTCTGACCTTTACTTATTTTTTCCTTTTTTGGGGAGCTGAACTTGGTGCATGTCTTTTATACCTTAACTAGTGAATTTGTCCATATAAAAGATATAGAAATGATATATTCTAAAATAGAATCGGAAAAGGTCCAAATATGCCCGTGAACTATGCGAAATAGGACAAATATAGGGAAAGTGAACGGTTGGCCACTAATAACACATGTATTTACTTTTAAGCCACCGTTTAAAATGTCTTTAGTCTTTAGCCACTGCTTTAATAAACTTTAACTACCCGGACGAAAATACCCTTCTGCTCATGTCCTTAACTTTTGTACTTAACTTCAGGACTTCAGGACTACATGTCCTTAACTTTTGAACTTGGAACTCTAAGTTCAAAACTTCAGGACTACATGTTCTTAACTTTTGAACTTGTAACTCTAAGTTCAGGACTTCAGGACTACATGTCCTTAACTTTTGAACTTGGAACTCTAAGTTCAGGACTTCAAGACTACATGTCCTTAACTTTTGAACTTGGAACTAAAACTTTAGGACCAAGCGTCCTTAACTTTTGAACTTGTAAGTCAAAGTTAAAGACCTATTGTCCTTAACTTTTGAACTTGTAACTGTAAGTTAAGGACTGTTTTTGAACGTGTAACTGTAAGTTAAGAACTGTCTGTCCTTAACTTTTGAACTTGGAAATCAAAGTTAAGGACATATTGTCCTTAACTTTTGAACTTGTAATTGTAAGTTAAAGACTGCATGTCCTTAACTTTTGAACTTGTAACTATAAGTTAAGGACTGTCTGTCCTTAACTTTAGAACTTGTAACTGTAAGTTAAGGACTGCATGTCCTTAACTTTTGAACTTGTGTCCTTAACTATTGAACTTAATTTTAGGACTTCAGGACTACATTTCCTTAACTTTTGAACTTGAAACTCTAAGTTCAGGACCATGTCCTTAACTTTTGAATTTAACTTTAGGACTTCAGGACTACATGTCCTTAACACAATTATCTTTGTCCTCAACTTTTTGGCTTTTTACCATATTTTTCCTAATTATCTGTTGTTTAAGAAAATCCAAAAGTCACTTCTTTTAGAAAACCAAAAGTCACGTCCTCCAAGTCTGTGATTATTATGAGTGAAACCAAGCAACTCAACTCCTGAAAGCATACAAAAAAGAAAATGAGAGGCTTATAAAATTTATATGATTAATGCATTTCGTTTCTTCTGTTCAAAATTGGGTTTCATATATGAAAATAATAGAAACACTCATACGGACCCCAGAACGCCATTGCAGAAGGAGAAGTGGAGCTGTAAGGAATGGATCTGAAAATGGCGTATTTCCGTTTAGGAAGCAAAGGGTAATACTGCCTTTTCATATTAATTTTAATACACTAGTGGCTACTTTTGCTCAGCATTAAAAATGCTGGATAAAAAATAAATACCACTTTAAAAAGTCGCTACCCCACACAATTTTTACATAAATATGCCCGTCGTTATTAGTTTGGCCAAATATATCCAAACCGTCCAACAGTTGTGCAAATTTGCAATTATTAGACGGAAACCATATTTTCTTTTCTTTTTTTAATTTACTGATACCAAACCCGTCCTAAAAACAGCCGACCCGACCCGACCCGACCCACCCTAATTCTAAAAGACCCAAAACATATGCTTCAGCTATACTGTATCGCCCAGCCCTAAACAGACTTCCCCGCCCCTTTCCCTCTTCCGTCAGTCATCTTCTTCCTTCTATCTTCTTCTTCGGCCGTCCATCTTCTTCCATCTTTAACAACAGGCCGTTCATATTCTTCCTTCAGGAACAACAGGCCGCCACCCATTTAATTTTTCAGGAACAACAGGCGGACTGAAATGTCGGAATGTTCGAGTTCTTCAAATAGCCGTCGAAGGATGTGTGGATGTGGAGTTGCTGCACTCCATCTCACATCGCGGACTGAAATGAATCCCAGAAAACGCTTTTTCAGGTGTCATCAACAAGAGCTATTATTGTCATCAAGAGCTATTATTGTCATCAACAAATTGAAAAGGGAAAATGATAATGATGCTCTTCTTAAAGAAAGACTTGGAAACAGGGTGGAAAAATTGTTTCTTATGTTTTTGGGTTTCATTATTGGATTTGTGGTTAGTTTTATGTTTTGAGGGAAGACTTGAAAATATGATTGTAATTGTTTATGGTTGTAATTGCTTATGGTTGTTTTAGTTGTATAATTTAGTTGCATTGTATTGTAATGGTTGGATGAAAATGGTTGTAATATGCATTGTATTGTAATTTGTCAGCAGCATTTGTGTTCACTTCATATGTTGTGTAATTTCTTAACTATTTCGCATCGTTCAGTTCATGTATCTGGTGTTGTGTAATTTCTCAACTTTCTGGAAACTCAAGCAGCATAGTTAAATTTCTAGTGTTGTGATGAGGTTTAGTTTGTGGTTGTTCTGGAAACTCGCACTGTCCAGGTCACCACATTTGCAGTACATATCAACTAAAGCCGTGCCTAACTGTAATTGAGTCAGGTCTTTGATGGGCTATCCTCATTTCATAAAACAGATGCAAGTCCATTGCTAAATGCCCATTCTGAGCATTCCCTGCAACAATTGCATTCGAGGAAACCACATCTCTGCTTTTTATCATATCGAAAACAACAAGTGCTTGCTTCAAATAGCCACACTTTGAATACATGGTGACAAGTGAATTTTGGGCAGGAGTCTCTATGGCAATTCTTTGCCTCAACATGTAGCCATGTATAGAAGTTCCTACTTTCAATGAACCTAATTGAGCACAAGCTGCAAGGGCACTTGCTATAGTAGTTGTAGACGGTTCAATTCTACTACACAACATGCTTTGAAACACTTGAAGTGCTCTGTCTGCACGTTCATTCTGAACAGTCCTGAGATAAACATAAACATAAGTGATGTCTCAAGATGCACATCTAATTCAAATCCAACAGCTATTATGAGATATCATGTACTATTGCAGCTCTATATTTGCAATTGCAATAAGTCTTTTGAGAACAAGGAGCATCAGATATCATGTACTGCTGCATTCCCCAACATCTAGTATTATGCTAACACACGTGAGATCCACAAACACTGACCACCCAAAATTGAAGAAAAGAAAGAAGCTCTGTTGTTCCTGAAGGAAGAAGATGAACGGCCTGTTGTTAAAGATGGAAGAAGATGGACAAAGAAGAAGATAGAAGGAAGAAGATGACTGATGGAAGAGGGAAAGGGGTGGGGAAGTCTGTTTAGGGCTGGGTGATACAGTATAGCTGAAGCATATGTTTTGGGTCTTTTAGAATTATGGTGGCTCGGGTCGGGTCGGTTGTTTTTAGGTCGGGTTTGGTATCAGTAAATTAAAAAAAATGGTTTCCGTCTAATAATGGCAAATTTGCACACTTATTGGACGGTTTGGACATATTTGGGCCAAACTAATAACGACGGGCATATTTGTCCTATTTCGCATAGTTCACAGGCATATTTGGACCTTTTCCGAAATATAATTGAAACAGAAGGAAATAAAAATTTCATGCGTATCAAAAACTAATCTATAAAAAATATCGGAAAGAATAAACGAAAAAAGACCAAGATAACTCTCATAATCGTCTTTCTATAATAATCTTGAGTTTCATTGCCCATCAATTGAAGCTTTATTTAAAGGCACAAGCACATTTCCGTGAAGCATAAACCAAAAAAAAAAACCGAAAAATGCTAAATAATAGGAAGTTCCTTCTAGCAAATATGTCTTGCTCAGTGCAAAGAGCAACAAGCAACAACAAATACTCCTCAATCCAAATATACTTTCTCAATACAAGAAAAAATAGTAGTAGTAATAATAAAGTTATTTTAAAGTTAAGAAAAAATTAATTATACGAATGTATTAAGTTATTTTATTTATAAATAAGATACATAGTTAAAAATATATTATATGGTATATAATATAGAAGGTATTACGTAAATATGAAGGGTTAATATCAAGGGCATAATAGACTTTTCAAGTAAAAATGTGACTTTTGTGATAACTAGAGCAAAGTAAAATGATTTTTGTGTAACAAAAGAAAGAAAAGTGACTTTTGTGCAATGAACACATAGTTGAATGATTTTTACGTAACAAAAAAAAAGAAAAATGACTTTTAGGTAACAAACACAAAAGTTCAATGACCATAGATAAAATTATCTCTTATTTAATTGACCAATGAATGCATATACAGTAAACTTTTTAACGGGAGTGACTTTATTTTTCAACAAATTTTTAAGGGCAAAATAAGAGAAATGGCTAAAAAACTGACGAAAAAAGATAAATTACAATGCTGGACATAGGAAGGTGCCACATCACCTTTCTCATTCCCAACTTTATATATATAGATGATTTTACGTTGAATTAGGACAAATTCATCGATACCTTGATGATTGTAATTTTACGAGATAATTTTATACATGGTCATTGAACTTTTGTGTTTGTTACCAAAAGTCACTTTTTTTTTTGGTTACGTAAAAATCATTCAACTTTGTGTTCATTACAGAAAAGTCACTTTTCTTTCTTTTGTTACACAAAAATCATTTTACTTTACTCTACTTATCACAAAAGTCACATTTTTACTTGAAAAATCTGTTATGCCCTTGATATTATATAAACCTTCATATTTATGTAATGCCTTCTATATTATATACTATATAATATATTTTTAACTAGGTATTTATTTATAAATAAAATAACTTAATATTATTATATTTATTATTTTTATAATATATTTATATATTTAATTTTTTTCTTAACTTTAATTTTAAAGATGTATTAGTAGCGTTAAAACAACTTTTTTCAGTAATTCTTTTTTTTGAATTTAATTGACCAACCAAAGTTGGTCGGTAATTTCCGACCAACTTTGGTCGGTATGCCCTTACGACCTTCAAAATACCGACCACACGTTAATGGTCACGTTTTGGACGATTATTGGCCATTACCGATCAACTTTGGTCGATTTTTTTGGATGTTTTTTTCCGAATTTCTAGTAATGTAATTTTCCAAACAACCAGTTGGCCAGGTAAATCCCGAGGAAAATATTCCCAGCTAAATTCGCATGTAATACATAGGGATTTTCCTTCAGATTAACATATGATTTTTTCCTCATTTTCTTTGTTTGTTTACCTGCGAATTTTCTCACGAAAATGTACTTGCCGATTTATTTCTCTACTAATATATATTAAAGTTACTGACAAATTCAATAACGCTACTAATATATTTTGAAAATTAACGTTAAAAAAAATTAAATTAATGAATATATCATAAAAATAAAAATAAAATAATATTAAGTTATTTTATTTATAAATATAATACATAGTTAAAAATGTATTATATAGTATATAATATAGAAGGTATTACATAAATATGAAGGTTTATATAATATCAAGGGCATAATAGACTTTTCAAATAAAAATATGACTTTTGTGATAACTAGAGCAAAGTAAAATGATTTTTGTGTAACAAAAGAAAGAAAAGTGACTTTTGTATAATGAACACAAAGTTGAATGATTTTTACGTAAAAAAAAGTGACTTTTGGGTAACAAACACAAAAGTTCAATAACCATGGATAAAATTATCTAATTGTACACTATAGGAGTATTGTTTAAGCATAAATTTTAGTTTTTTTAAAGGTTCTTCTCTTTTAAGTTGTTCTTTTTAGTTATTAAGAGACTCACTTAACCCGAAGAAAAAAGAAATCTTTTCTTAGAATTTCACCATGAGAGCAGTAAGAGAGAATATGAGATTATGAGGTTATTCATTTTGGGTTTAGCAGACCTATCTATGCCCAAGAGTAGGGGTGTCAATGGATATTTAAAAACCGACTAAACCGACCGAACCGTATCGTACCGAACCGATTTTTAGTTTTTTTTTAAAATAAAATCGTAGGTTTTTATATAAATATATAACCGAACCGATAATTAGGGTAGACTTTTTATTTTATAAAAATAAACCGAAAAAATACCGAACCGTATCGAATAAATTTACAATGTAAAAAATATATTTATATATTAAGTTTAAAAATGATAAAGCATTAAAAATTTTCCGGGACCTTGGAATTATGAAATAGTTACAAGCTAACAAGTAATTAAACTTAAAATCCTAATTCCCAAATCTATTATACTACTCCTATTGAAATTAAATTATTTCCAGCATATATACTAGCAAAATACAAGATATTGTAACAAGCCAATCTCGATTAAAAAAAGAAAACTTATTGCAACTACGAACGTGAACAGATGCTTTCTCATTAGACTATTTTAACCGATTGTTTATGTCGACTTAAACCTCTTATGAGGAACAACTTGCTATATGAGTTAGTTGTCTATCGCGATAAGAAAATGCTATTTTGTCTAAGGGATTTACTCATGCTTCTCCCGAGTAATCTCAATACCTTAGCTAAAAATCTCTGTCCCCAATTAGGGGGTAAAGGATGTATACAGTATGATAAAGTGCAAGAGTCGAATCTTATCCAGATACGGGAAGAATTATTGGAGTATATGAAGCAGGATATCCTTTTATTAGGTGGCATTATGCATACAGCGATTATGAGTAGAAAACTATAATGTATTGCATATGTTTCCTTTCGTATGATTTAGCTTTATCTTTTTGAATATTTAATCTTCTATAGACTTTATTCTTGAAACCCGGCTTGGTAATATCTTTCCACTCGTCTGATTTATATTTTTTGTATTTTCTTAGTTTCTTCTACGCTGATGTAGAATAGTTGATGGATCTATACTCTAGCCATCTTTTATATTTTCTTAATTTATCACCTTTTAAACTGTAAAAATATCTAGAGAGTTTTGCTAAGTCATACAAAATTACGCATGTGATTGTATTCTACTTCTAGTAGTGATATTTACGTTACATTTGAAAAAATTACCGAATATTTACCGAACCATACCGATACCGAAGAGAAATCGGCATGATTTGGACGGTTTCAAAAAGTCTAATTTTGATTATACATAATAGAATAACTGAAAAATTGGTAAGGTATAAATTTTATAAATAACCGACCGAACCGAACCATTTACACCCCTACCCAAGAGTGATGTGTTTAAATTCAAAGTAATTAAATAATTTATTCATCGGGAGATGAGTGAAAATAATAGTAATTATTTTCCGGCTACTCATGAGGCCTAACTACCCATCTTTGACTATTATTATAGTCACATTTGAATTTCTATCAAATTTACCAAGTATTTTATTCCACAAATAGAATATTTTGGTAAGAATTTATAAACATTTGTATTACCATTACGAGGACTATCAACTTCACTTTCAACTTATAATAAAGGGGTTTTGACACAGTTATCTACAAAAATAAAACTATTTACCTTTGTCTACCCATTTATTTTTCTACCCATAAACTAATTACATTTCCTACCCATAGTAGGTTTTGTAGGGAATTTTCTCTTTATTTTCCGATTCTTTTTTATTTTTATGCTTCTTTTCTTTTCTTTTTCTTTTCTCCTTTTCTTTTTTCTCGTTTTCTCCTTATTTTTTTCTTTTTTCCTATTCTAATTTCATTTAACTTCTTTTTTATATATTCTTTTTCTCTTCATAATCTAATTTTATTTACTATTTTCACTATTTTTTATTATTCTTATATATATATTATTACTAGAGAAAAATCAAATTGTGTCCCAATTAAATGTAGCTAATACAACCAAAAAAATATTAACTAACATTTGATACCAGTATAGTATATAGTTATACCAACAGGGTATACAATTGTACGCAAAGAGTTAGAAAAAGTTTATTTCAATTATTAAACTGAAATAATATCAGTTGTCAATAAAAAATTTAAAAATTCTAAAAGGATCTAATTGTAAGAGTATACCGTTACATTATATAGCATACTATAATTTTATTTTATGCATTTTCAATTTGCTGCTCACGCTAAGTAAAAGCTTAAAACAAATTAAAAGGGAAAAGGCAAGTGAATTTACGGGTAATAAGTATACTATTATAGTATATTGTATACTATTACAGCATATTGTTACAATATCTTGCATATTATTACAGTATACCATAACAATATATTTGTATACTTTAATGGTATACTGTTGTAGTATAACTATATACTCCTATATTATATTAGTATACTGTAGCGGTATACTGTTAGGTATCAGTGTTCTTCTTCGATTATTACTGTAGTCGTGTTCTTCTTCGATTTTCAACTGATAATTTCGATCTCAATCACCTCAAATCAGCTCCAAGTCTCGACCAAACTGACTCAACATTTAGTTACAGTTGCCAATCGATATTTTAATCATGCCAGTCAAAATCTAATCAAACAATTACAAACTCGACAAATGCAATTTATGATTTTCAAGTTTCAAGGTCTTTCAATGGTTGATCTAATTTTTCTTACAATAAATCACTATGAACTTCTCAAAAGATATTAGAAATAATTATTTGTAACACTGCACGTACAAAATAATTATTTTGCTTATCATTAAACCATATCAAATTTCACTTATTAAAATCACAATAAAAAACTGGGCAGTGACTCGAACAAACACAAACACTACGAGAAAATATGAGATATGTAAGACGGAGATAGTATTTTATTGCTGGAAGAAGAAACAGGAAGAAGGGAAAGGGGAAAGGGAAGCTTTAAGGAGGAGAGAGGTTGGTAAGGCAATTGAGAA